TTTGACGCCTGGCAGTCGAAATTAGCCCTGGACTCACAGATGCTGTCGCCATACGCATGAGATGGCTGTCTGTTGCGAAACTCATAGCTGGTAATTCTTGAGCTGACGATTTAAAACCACGAACAATGAATTCTGGGCGGGCACCAAGTCTCTTCAGTCAAGTATTACCACCGATTATTAGCAGGCACGCAACACGGGTGGATTTACGTGCTGCCATGAGACCGGGATTTCCTTTGTCTATGTGCCAGTGGGGGATATGGAGGTCTTACAGTCGAAACAGCTGTTCAGTGGTATGGTATTGACTCGGTTGAATCGCAAGCCGTCAAGACTGGTGATGCGCATTACAATCTGTCTTAATTCAATATCTCAAAGCGGAAGCATCGCTAACGTACTTGAAGATCATGTTAGTTTTAGGCCCACGTAGATAACTCCACGTACGCCTAATGATAACAGTGACTCATATGTGTCAGTAGTTGCAGTTTATGAGGATAAGACTTCTGAAGTCCACGAGGGACAAAAGGTCATTCGTAAGTCCTTCCTATTCTTCCTCCTGTCCCTGATAGACACGGACAAACAGTATCAGATGTGGCAAATAACCTGGCACATTTTCTCACACTGTCGAAAAGCAATTTCTTCCTGCTGATCGTCAGCTCATCATTACCTTACTGTGGCTAGCTCATGTAGCGTCGCTGTCCTATTAACCTACATATAACCTTGCGGGTCGATATGTGTGGAATATGAGTTAAAACTTAGCGTTGACTCTTGAAATCAACATATTCCAAAAAACCCTCTTCTTTGCTCCGTCGTTGCCGGTCCTAAGCCCGGATGAGGGGGACCCCTCGATACACAGATATATACATACCCTCAGTCTCTAGCAAAATTCAGCCATCTGTCGCTAATGATACTGATGTTATCACGTGGTTAAACCTGGTGCGCATTTGGCTGCAGCACGTGCCAACCCCCGGGGTTTCATACCGCTGCGTTGCTACTTCCCTGACAGACTGTGGAAGCATTCAGAAGACCAGACGTGGCAGAAGAAGCCGATGGCTAACCGCTGCAACAGCACACCCGTCGGTGGCTGCATTTTCCAGCAATAATTCCCAACAGTTGCTGCGCCATCCTGGCGAAGTATGATGAGCCTCAGGCGTTTCTTGCCATTCAGCATTTCATAAACATTGGCGTCATTTGTTTACAAGAAACTTGGCTACTTTCCATGGACGATGAGAGCCTCCTCGGTTCTGGAAAATTCCTTGGTCACGTTGAGTCGTGTGGCGGTGGTATAACAACGTGGTTCAACGTGACCAGGTGTGCAAACTGTTCCGAGAATTTTAAGTTCTGCCAACACGATCTACAGTGTTTCATCATCAGTGGAATGCAAGCCACGGTGCCGGACTGAGGCTCACCGAAGATTAGTCGTTCCTTTTGTGGTCTGATCAATCAAAGAAAAAGCAGGTACTTTTACCAGACTTTAATCAACCTCATATTGGTCCTCTTTTTCACTGCTTGCATTGCTGCTCTGTATTTGTTCATTTGTTATGTCGATAGGTTTTGGCAACTTGGTATTCAATTAAGTAAATTTTACTCACTGACTGGCATCTCCGTCTTCCTAGGTACAACACATAAACAAACATAACAAATGAATGCATTCTCATTAAAATGTTGGAATGTAATCCTTTTCATTTCACGCGTACAAACTATTTTTGTTGACATATTTCGGCTTGAACCATTGGGTGGACAACAGCCATCAGCAAATGGCAATCAGAGTGAAAAGTGAAAATTAACGAATAGTTTGAATCGAGATGTGATGCTCCACAACATACTCCAAAACATGAGGCATATTTGGGTTATGTTATCACAGAGAAGGGGAGGAAGTGAAGAATCTGCTGCTTGAATGAGAGTCTGGATTCAAGAGGAGTCACCGATTGTGGGTCAGTAATAATTCTAGTTAACTACTTTGCTTTTGATCAGCTCCATCTTTTGTACCCAACTCATCGTTTTCGATAGGTACCAACGAAACAAACCTCGATTCCCTATGGTCATTTCGGAATTGCTCTAATTTGCAAGTCTTTTCCTATAGTAATCCATGTATTTGACATCTTTGGGCCACAGTTTCTATTCATGTCATTGTCCGTGGTCTGGATCAGGAAGACAAAACGGTTTTGAAGGTGTTGTCTACTGTGCTTATGAGTCTTTTGTATGGGGACACTTTTTTCAACGGCTCTTGGTCTGAGACAGCTCGTTTGCGTTCTTTAAATCTCACCCGTAATTACCGTCGTATATATGTACTGACCGATGTAAATTACGGTCAGGCAGTGGATCTGGTGCGCAACAGCCATGTGCCTTTTACCTTCGCTAACAATTACCTTAACTTCCTTTCGGACTTTAAGGCAGCTCGGATGTTCACTGAGTTCATAATCCGCCTTATAGATATATTAGATATATATTTTTTAAGCAATAATGTCGGCTCTGCTTGGAATGCAGCCGTGGGCTTTGCCAGATGAGGTTCGTTCGGCCTGAGCTCCTCAACTACAGATCTGATTTCAACAAAAGAGTGAAATCAGAACAAGATCTGTAGATAAAAGTCTAAAAGGATATGGAACTCAACGTTAACTCTTAATGGGCTTGTCCCAACGCGGCTTTTATTTCTGCTGATTGATTTAAACGTTCGTCGAGTCGAACGCCGGAGACTGTGAATAAGAGCAGCTGTCTCATGAGTGAGCCTTTTAAAGCCTTATGCCGAAAGACGCGTAATTTTTTCTGGACATTAGACACGCAAGAATAAACTTGGTACAACTGAAATTGCCAATCATCGTGATGAATCAGACGTTGCAAAGAAGGGCTGGAAAAATTAATAGCTAAATTGATAAATAATTTGCAAATTACAAATTTAAAGAGAAAATTTTTGCACGAGATGACAACCTCATCCGGATGATTAGTTGATTCGGTCAGAACAACATCGTCAATTTACTCGAGTAATTTGCGCTGTCCACGAGCAAACACTTACTGCTGAGAAGATCAAGTAATCTAGTCGAACGAAATGGGGAGAGGATGGAGGGTGGAAGAAAGAAGACAAAAGCCAATGACGTAAAAAATGACTTTCCTCAGCAAAGCGAAGAAAAAATGTGCGAACATGAGGATGAGCAGAAATCGCTGAAAGAACAGATTCATGAATTCATGCTTCAGTTATCATTCGTACCAAGCGGGCTAACGATCACCCAGGCCTTGTCATGGGCCTTGACAACTTTGACTAAAGAGTCAGTGATAACCGGAAGCTGGTAGACTTTTCAAATGTACGAATCGACCAGCGTCGATCTGTCAAAGAGATGAATAATCTTAAGTGCAACGTGGGCACAAAAACTGGAAGACACTCGTCATAGTGAATTCGCAAAAAAGAACACCAGAAAGTGTTTTCGCAACGATGAGGCATAAATAAAGAGCCGTATATCACTTTCAGTGTTGTCTGGCGATGATTCATGATCGAAATGAGGTATTCGTGAACAGTGAGCGCAGTCAGAGGCAAATATGAAGTGACTAAATGGAAATGAAATACTTGCTTCGCATAAAAAGCTGTTGTCCGAATCCACCGATACTTCAGCGGACGGTAGGGGCACCCGCGTCGATGAGCGGCGGCGTTAGAGTACTGTTCGACCAGTCAGTCGGTTCGATTAGCAGTGAACAGAGCGCGACGAACACAGCGCTGTGGTGGCAGTGGCAAATCGGAAACCAGTTAGCGAACGCTAGATTTGGACAGAGGATACGAGGTGGTGTTTGGGACATAGCGACGGTCGCGCAGCCCCCCCCAGAACAATTGTCTTTCTGACTCGACGTGTTCCCTCGAAACTCATTATCACTCCTTGCTAACGAGTGTCGTTTCACACGCATGTGTATGCGCGCGGTGGCTGGCGTCGCCGGATCCCCAAGACCGTTGTCACCCGCCCAGCGGTCACCGCTGGTCATACGTCTCTTCATTGCGGCTGATGACCCAAATAGCTTCGACACGCAAGACGGCGGTCACACAATGGCTAATTGTAACGACCAAGGGGATCAGCCCCCATCTCTGCTATTGTCAACGTATTTGTAAAGAGTGTTAGCCGCCGCAGGGCGTGCTCGTGTGGACGACGACGACGACGACGACACTTGTTTATTTACCCCCCGAAAATCAATACGACGGCGTTCGATTAAGGACATGCTTAGCTTAGCAGTCGTCGTTGTCACCATTGTCCTCGTTTAGCGGTCAGCTGCTCTTGTCGTCGAATTAACTCAGACTGTCGTCGGTGGTCGGTGGTCGGTCGATCGGTCCGGAACGAGTCATGTACTCCTGACGCCGCACTCATAATACTGTTCTCTGTCGTTCTCGTCTCTTGACGACCGACAACAAGTTATGCGGCGGCATTCAGAAACTGGTTGACGATAGCACAAGTGCAAATCAATAAACAGAGGTTGTCGTTGCGCAGTCGTCACAGTCACGCGTCACAAGTTCACTGTCCGAAAGAGGAACGAGGTGTGCTGCGTGCCGCTAGGTGAACGAGTTCGATCGGTGGTTACGCCCTTTCGGTGACCGGTTCACCACTACCATCGCTTCAAGGCTGTCAGCTGATAAAATGGCATATGCCCAGGTATCCGTGACAGAAACTGGCCTCACTGAAAGGACCCGGCCGACCCCAGTGCGACTGACCTGTTCAAGTAATGCTAATGACTAACAATCACCCGCGATGGAAGGGAGGATAGGACAGCACGTTGTTCCGACAAGACGTCGAATGCAAACAAGTCAAGTCGTTTCCCGACGAGACACGGTCGGAATCACACCTCTTCCTCCTTCACATTAGCAACCTCATCTGTACTTCTTTATTTCGTTGCTGTCAGACAGAACAGAGGCTCGCCAACTTTTCCTCGGGTAGTTTCGGCCATTTGCTCAGCTAGTATAGCATAGTAGTTCGAGACCGAGATCGGCAATCTTGTTCATGCATCAGTATTCGTACTGTAAACAAGCGGCT